GTAGGGAGATAAGGCCTCATCTGGAGTGAAAACTACACCCCTGAGCCCCCGAAAATTCCTTTAACTTTTGAGCCGTGGTCGAGTCCCTGCTCGTCGCCTCTCTCTTATCGTTTCCGGTGGGGTCTTTCTCCTCTTTTCTTTTCCTTCATTTTGATATCCTCTTCTGCCTATGCCGACTAGGCTCAGGGTCGTTGCCCGTATTCGATTACGCTGTGTGCAAACCGCGACCGAGCGTCATGGGTTGTAGTGACCCGGTCTCCGCCGCAGGCTAGGCCGACAAATATGCCACGTTGGACTAAGTAAAATCATCGGAGCATAGAACTGGGAGAAAAGATGCCCTCAAAAACTTCGACAGGGAGAGAATGACCGACGCTCTGAATGCGTCCTGGATCCGATGGATATGACACGACAGGGGAGTGGGACTGCGCAAGTGTCACCCTGTAAGTTGACACCTAAGCGTGTACGTCAGCATGCGGGACTCTATCGGATTGCAAGCCCTATTTTAGTACAATGTCCTCAAATTTGCCTTTGACTGACTTTTTAATTTGCCTTTTATTGAAAAAAATGACATCCCCGGCACGCTTCCACTGGACTGCCGGCGAACCACTTTCTCTTCAGTACCTACAGTTTGTTGTAATATATTTTCGTAACAGACCGCACAGAGCGCACACGACCTCACCTCAAAGAATACACGCTGTGATTGTTATTCGAACCAGACAATCCAGCGGAGTCCACAAATACTGAGGCTTTTACTTGTGAGACAAAGTCCAATCTCACCAGGAACGCAAAACCCCAACTGCAAAGCCTTGAAGTGACATAGTTGGATCATTTCAAACATGTGTTCCGTAATTGACTATCGGCCCAGCGCACTTATGTGTGGCGGCCATACTGTAGGCAAGCTACGTAGTGTTTTTGCAGCTTTCGCCGGCTGTGCTAGGCTCTAAATGCAATCAACATAACTCCCTCGCGTTATGTACCGCCCAATCATTTGGGATTTTGTGCAAAATGATTTTGTTTTGCATTTGTCCATGCACAGACATCGATGCGCTCGATAAATTTGTTGTTTGTTATTATCGATACATTATTTGATCGATGCATTTGTTGAGCGTTTTGTGACAGTCTTCGAACATCGCGCACTCTTTTCGGCGTCTTTCTCCCATCTTGGGAAAGCTTATGTGGCACTGGGGTGCCGACTGATGTGAGACAGCTCTGGTCTTTATACCCGGTCTTAGCCCAGGTGTGTGCACACCTATCTATCTATCTATGTGCACAGGTGTCTTTGTATTCTTTTGTGTGGACCATTTGCTCCCGCCCCCTCCAATATCCGGGCTGTCCCTCCACGCGGTGAATTTGTCTTCCCCCTACGCCAATTTTCTGAGGCCTTAGCACAAGCAGAACATGACGACTGAGAACTCAAAACCATATCGACATTGAAGGTTTATAATAATTGTTTCACATGTAAAAGGAGCACAGCGAATTAAGTCTGCGATGTCTTATTCACTCGAGTGCAGCTGGTTGGCTAGTCATATTTTACGAGTAAAGCATTCGTAGAGCATTTTCTATTTTTGCTGCAAGCTGCATGTCTTTTAAGTACATGGGGCATATGCTTTGCCGGCTCTGGTCTAGTTTTATGTTATTACCTGAATGTGTTGCCATTATTTAACTATGCTTCGGGTCCTGCGGGCTGACTCCAGTCTCGTCATTCTACCTCGATGACTTGACAGGTGATTAAAATGAAGCAATGGAATATTAGCTTCTAAAAACGCTAGCCGCCTACGCTCGGAAGAACCCATGAAATGTATTGATCTCTACTTCGACGTGAATATTCAATAACTATGTTACGAAAACCGGGTGATCAACGCCAGTTGACTAAGCTGATAGCGGTAATCGCTTGACATTAGCCACCAAAACAACATTAGAGGGAAAGTGTCTAGTGTTTTCCATTTTCCAAATACACACCTGAGGGGGGTTTTGAAACTAATCTATGGCTACTTTTGTTGCTTACAGATGCGTTTGGGTCTTGCAAGAGTTTCTGCTTATTTCATTTAATCGATCGCGTCGATGGCTGTGCCTGAATAAATACAATGCTTAAAAGTGAACCAATCAGCGGACATGAAAGGACGAATGCACTGGCTCATGCGTGGCGAGGAGCCGCGCGCTAGTGACGTGGCCATTATCTCGCTTGCTACGGTCTCGTGCGTATAGAGAGAGCGCTGGCGGTATAGAACGGTACACACTTTAATATCCCTTACGTAATCCGAGACGGAAAAGTATGATCACCCTGAACATGCCTGGTGGTACTAGCGACATCGCAGCAAAATGTCCGCGCATGTGCCTTGTTATTTCAAACGCTGAGTTCGGTGCACGTGCAATTCGAAATCTGGTCATTAATATCAGAGTGTAGGGGTCTTAGCCGCCTATAGCCGCTGCCAAAACAACGTAAAACAATTACATTTTCATAGAGCCTAGTGCAGCCGATTGACACTAAGCAATACATGTGCCTCATCTTATTATGAAGTTAGCCAACATGAATTAACCGCGGTGCGTATCAACTGACCAGCCTTGCCAAACGGCCAGCCCTGTACACCTGCAGCCCTGAGCTGAATGTAAACAAAAAAGAACGTAATGGCCGCCGCCATCGCTGTGTTCGCACGCTGCTGTCAGGTGCTGACAAAGCGACATCCTCGAAAAGCCATTGGCTAGAGCTAACGATACCTTCTCAATGACGTCGATGTGCTTACCAGTGAGTATTGATTGGGGGCCGCCCAATAACTTTGCTCTTCAAGACAAACAAAAAAAAAAATGGGGGCTGTGCCAATATCTCGTCAGTGGAGGCGAATTGGTAGAAGCCAACGACATCAACATTTTCAAATTGAAATTCCTTTTCATCCTACGCGCACAGTTAAATATTCCGACTTGACCAGGCACACTCCCCTTAACTGTATCGAGGATGCCTAACGCGAGTGTTGCGGAGCAGACTGCAACTCGCCTTGCAGTTACTGACAGGAATTTCCGTGGCAGCATATAAAAGTTGTGCTACCAATTTACAGCCTTCATTCCCGAGGCCGGACACGCCCAACAACGTCTGAAGCCACGTAAAATCGACTCTGTAAATTACCAAACTATGGTTTCAGTCATCGGTGCCCAACAAAATACAGATGATTGCCTGACGACAACCCTCGTGCCGAGCCACTGCAGCGACCATTATCTGGCCACAATCCGCCTTGAACGTAAAACGCAGCAGAAACAGCTGCAAAAAGAAAGAAAGAAATAATATAATGCACGACTATCGCCGAACGGCTACTAACCTTGCTCTTCTGGTTCAACTGCCAGGTTTGAACACTAGTTCGCCGTGCTATAGGTGCTAATCTGTTCCTACTATCAATCTGAAAATGAAGTGGGTGAAATATCCGCCAAAACTGTCTTCTAAACTTACAAACTGATTGTCCTAAAGCGTTCAAAAATACTTATTTCAGACACTTTATCATGCATCATCCGCCCGTTAATCGCCACCCAGTGTTGACCGCGGGGCGAACGCCGCGCCACCTACGGAGACTGCAAACGCTGGGAGTAGGGACTTTTGGTGTGAAAACTTACGAGCGCACATGTTCAAAACTATGCCACATAATTGTATTCACTAATCGACTCTGACTGAAGGTTAAAATCCCCGGACGAAGATGGGCTGGTCATATTAATGCAAATTGTTGACCACATTTTGTTATAAAGTCGGCATTTACTTAGTCCTCAATATCTCTGTAGGGTACACAACAAATCCTGATGAGGTCTCTGAGTGACATCGGTTTATAAAACAGGCCACTTAATCATTGTACAATCAGAAGCCGTAGTGGTGAATTTCTTGCAGTCATTTAATGCCCGCTCCCTTAAGTTTATAACTTCAAGATAGCAGCTGGCCTGTTCCCTTCTAGTTCAAGAAGCTTACAACTAAAAACACAGACGAAGAATGTCTGAAGTCTGAGGACACCTCTTAAAAGATAGGCATTTGTCCCCTTAAAAAGCCACAGCATAGCGTAATGTTCAAACGGAATTTATGTAAGCAATTGTAGGGCCGGAAATTCGCATAAAAGATGCTGGTCCCTTAAAAAGGCATTTGTCCCTTAAAAAGCCACAGCATAGCGTAATGTTCAACGGAATTTATGTAAGCAATTGTAGGGCGGAAACTCGCATAAAAAGATGCTGGTATGGCGAAATTTCGACGGACAGAAGCTCGACGCACAGAAATTCGTCGCGAACAGGTGTTGTGTCCGCCAAAACAACGTCGGGCTGTAATTAACATAGTATAAAGATGGTCGAGGAAATAGAGAAAAGGCAAAACGTTTTCTTGGTTTAAACGTTTTTCTACAGCAAAATTTTATCGCGGACAAATATTCGTCGTGCTACAGTTCGTAAAGGACAAGAACTGCTTAGACAAAAGCTTGTGAAAGACCAAAGTACGTTGCGCTAGAGGTTCATATATGGCAAAAGTTTGTCTGGGATAAAAGCTCTCTTGGGAAGAAATTTGTCAGACATAAAAATTACATGTAGCTTTGGTGAAGTGAACAAATATCTAACTTCTTGGGAGCTCACTGGGCACCGCTTGCCTAAACCGTGCATACGGAATTTAAACAATAGCCATAATAAACATATTTGTAATCAAATGTCCTGTAAATGGTTGGTAGAGTTTGGCGTACTTGGTATATCATTCTAGAGTGGCCCGCATACTAACCTTACCATGCATGACAAAAAATTAGGTTATCTGGAATATCGAAACGCCCTTGGTAAGGTATCTAACTTAAAAACCTATGGCAGCCTGCCAAGTGCAAATTTAGCAGCATTGGTGATGAATACCTGGGGGCACAAAAAACCTCTTTGATTAATTAGTACCAGTTAGTTGACTTCGTGCACATCTTCGTCTTCTTCCCCAAGGCGTAATGCCTACATCAAGACTGGCAGCTTTGAACATAAAATTGATCAGCCGCTATTTGTTGCAAGCAACAAAAATGTTCTAGCTTTGCAATGACGATTCGTGAATGTCAAGCGACTTAAGTTCTCATTTCGAAATCGGTATGCATCATTGGATTCATTAGCGGAATCAAGTGCAAGAAAAAAAGAGTCTCGAATCGGAGTTGGTAGTCGATTCCAGATTGAGAACACTAGCTTGAGCTGTTATCGGAGAAGGTATCGAGTCGAAATACATTTCAAAAAACACACACTGGAATCGAAATCGATTCCACTGGGCTACAATCCAGCACAAGTATATCCCCGGGACGAACTTATACATTGCCAAGTTACATTGTGCATTAGTTTCATAAGTTCTGCTGTACTGGAAGCATTGCACTGGAAGGCTTCTCTCCCGACGTATAGGCTGAGCTCGTGGCTTACCCCGTCACCAACTCCTGCCGCCACAATCGTCACGCCAAGATCTTTCTCCAGTGATCCTCGCAGGCCCCCTGGAAACACAGACCGCTGTCAGAAAAACTGGTCGCTAGCATCCGCTCTCGCAGAAGCCTTCTGAATGATGAGTTTTAAAAGCTCGGCGAAATCTCTGGGGCGGTTGTATGAAGATACATACGTAATACCTCCTCGAATTTCATGCTGTTAGTGATAACGAATGTTTGCGTTGTCTGTTTCCTGCAGTTTAATCACGTAATTTGTTTAACCTCTCGCTGCGGTTGGGAAGGAGACATGTCGTATATAATGCAAAACATTTGGCGACTGCTTGCCAAGGATTTCGGGGTTGCGCGAACGTCGTTCCCAGATGTCGGGCGATACATGTTGTATCAGCTGTACATGGAACATATTGTATCAATAGCACAATGTACCGACAATATGTCACTGACTGGCTTGCTGCCAATGGTTAATGCCATCATATACATGACTTAATGTCATACAAAAAACAAAACGACATTCACATTATCTATGCCGACTGATGATTTCGACCTGAGCAACGGCAACTGACGTGACAGTGGTCGTAAAACAAACGCTGATTGATAAAAGAGAAAAAAAAGTGTCGTGCAGCAAGCACGACGATTGTGAAATAGCACAGACGAGCAGATTTAATCTACATGTAGCGAAGCATTCAGCTTGTTGGCGATACAGCTTACGCTGTGATAAAAAAGAATACCATCACAGCTTCCCCCACGATGTGGTGCAATTCACCCCAGGGTGGGGCAAGTTCTCTCAGTTGAAAGGGGGTTATTCAGAAAACATTCGTTAAAGAACGAAAACGTTTTCTCCAAATCTTTACCGCATCATATGGATCTGAAGGTTGTAGGTGTTTGCAGATAGAATGCTATTAGTCTTATTCTCACGAGTTATGGTAGGAGGGACCTCAGAGTAAAAACGGATACAACTCTCCTTACTCTCCCCTGGGGCTGCTTCAAATTCGATGTTTTGCCATCACAATGCATGGCAAAAGAGGAACAGTGCAATGGAAGATGAGTTTTCCGATAGCTAGGATTAATAACTACTTTTATGTTATATTACAGCGCGACATGACATAATGACAATGATGATGGTACGTTACAAAAAAAAACACTCAAGAAGTAAGTTGGTCGCCATAGTGAACAACAGGAAAATACCAGCCGAAAACATACCATGATATTTAATGATCCAAAGTAGAGAGTTAAAATTTATGTCACGATATATGAGCGAAGGAATGGTAAAAATGTCTTAGCATTCGCCGTCATGCTGTTTATCGCAACCAGCCGCGTCATGCTGTTTGATAAACGACATTGCACGACATTCTCGATCGCGAAATTTCTGTTCAGAGTTGCCATGGTAAGAGCGCCGACGTGTCCTCACAGTAATGTAGCGGTGGGCATGCAGCTGTCATCTACAGGATAAAATGTCTTACTAGTGGGTGCATGCCAGTGAAATCTGCACGAGCGTAGGCCGATACGCTACGTACATACGATGCGTCGTGCTTAGGCCCACATCGTTTGAACATCAGGCAGGGGGGCCGCCCTGGTGCAATGTACAGGGCATCAGACTCGACGAACACAGCTTACCTATTTTGGCCGCCACTACTGATGAGTTGTAACCAACTGGGTTCGGTTTTACTTTAAACATCACTTGGTCGCCGACAACTCTGCAAAAAAGCGAAGCCCTCATTATATGACAACGAAACTTCACTACCGCTCAAAATGTAATGTACCAGTGCTCAATAATGCGGCAGACGGCTGTAGACTAAGCCGCCACTACTGCAGCACACGACTGCAGCCTGACCTGCCACTACTGCAGCACACGACTGCAGCCTAACCCGCCACTACTGCAGCACACGACTGCAGCCCAACCCTCCACTACTGCAGTACACGATTGCAGCCTAACCCTCCACTACTGCAGCAAAAGATTGCAGCCTAACTCGCCACTACTGCGGCAGAAGGCTGCAACCCAACCCGCCACCACTGCAGCACACGACTGCAGCCTAACCCGCCGGTCCCGCCTGCCCAGTTTCGAACATAAACGTAGACCCCTGCTTACCCTGGACAAGGATGACATGTGCCTCACACACTGACGCATATGGACGATATGACCTCTTAATGCAGAAAAGCACGATTCCGCACAAGGGGAAGACCAGACGGCTGCACTCATGGTATCATATTATGATGACAGGCAGCAGTGGACGCAGCATCAGTACGCGGCACCTCAGAGGCAGTCCAATACTCCCAGCACGCACTGATCACAAGCCGCCCAGTATTGGTCTATTTCTAGCCTTCGCGCGGTACAGGGAACCGAAACATCAGCCAAATCACATTGCGCAGACAACATTTCAAGAACATACCCTGCTTAAGCCTCAAGACCAGTCGTGTGTAATAACAGCGCTGAGCACTGCCACTACAGCCCGAACAAGACACAATAAGCAATTTAGTTTTAATAATTATTAAGTCCGACGAGAGCGGTCAGCGTTTCGTCACCGCACCAGACTCTGTGGGACTTTGGGGCCCTGGGACTTCTTTAAAGTCCCAGAGTTCATTTCAGGTATGGGCGATATTGGCGCATTCAAGACATGAACTATGATATTCATTGTCACCTTCGGGGTGAATTCACGTTGATCTTGTAAACAAAAAACAGCATGAGAATTGTGATGATGAAGAAATTGGCACCTTTTAGCCCAAAGGCCCTGAAAAGCAAAGTGCGGGCAGAGTTTTAAAGTGGTGCCTCTCGTCCGTGATAGCTGACAACGGCAGAATCTGTTGCGGCCTTCGTCGGCTATTACGGACTAGAAGTATCCCTTTCAAGCTTTTTTAACCCGAGCATTACGAGCCTGCGAGGTTAAAAGAAACACCTCCAGTAGCATAAATGATGTCTGTAAAGATGAACATGGGTGGTTGGCACAGCGGACGGCGTAAGCCATTTACCGAAGTGTATTTGTGGAGGTTTGAACCATTGCGCCACCTAGCCGTGTGACAGGTCTAGTTCCTGAAGCCAAGGTGCGCTGCGGTGTTTTAAGAAACAGAAATATAAATAGAGTGTTTTTCAACATTTTTGCACAAGTGTCTTGTTCAAATAACGTAGTGTTAACAGTACATAGCACACGCCATGGAAAACAGAGCAAATGAAAGCATAACTTTCATAGTGGTGGGCAGGGAATCCATCGGTATCTCTCCAGTCGCAGTGGTTAGTACAAATAGAAATTTGTGGCTAATCACGCTTCCGAGAAAACTGGCATTAGCGATGGAATCGGAAGCGTGTGATCTAACAATAAGTGAAAAATGCAAAGAAAGTGGCGTATTTACCTTAACTGAACGCACCAAGGACGCGTCAACAAAGCATCTAGGTCAAGCAAACCACAGCCTTCTTCACAACCCCAACCGACCGCGGCTGGCACACCTGCGCCGCGCGCGGCGATGCAGTGCAGTACCTGATGTTGTCGAAGGTGTTGCGCGGCAGAGATAGGTCCTCCTCCAGCTGCTCCACCAGCTGCTTTCCGCTCTTCCAGGTTTGGAATCTGCCGAACGTATTCGCCAAGTCAGCAGCAGCCATCCGGTTTCTCATACAGGGTGGATCGGCATGAGAGAGGGAGAGGGAAGGAAGCAGAGTGTAGATACCGAACGCGAAACTAACGCCGATTGCAGGCGTTGCAGACATCTTTGTTGGCGGGTTACACTCCAAGTCCCCAATGTTTCGACCTAAAAGGCGACAGATTGAGTCGGTCTACGTCTACGTACGCAATGGCTCTCGAACGCTGAAAATGTGATGGCGCACGTTGCATGATGTCAATTTTGCTCCCCCCCCCCCCCTCCGAAAACGCGCTGGATACGAAATGCCAATGACAGGCACGTTAGTCATGGTAACCATGCCAATGACCAGCTAAAAGCTCACTGCCTTCGCAGGCACTTACAAATTTATTGTTTATTGGAGAGGGAGTGAAGAATTCCACCAAACGGCAGCATGAAGAGCTATATTTATCCGTTTCTTCGCAAAATATAGCGTTTTCACCAGGCCATAGAAATTACCACACGTGTCGTGCAACGAGTACGTTTTCACCAAAAGTAAAGTTTACATAATGTTAAGACTGCGAACATTATTATTTACGTTGTTCTTTTGGAATCTGCGAACACAATAATTCATTATCTTGTGACACCCAAGCAGACAAATACATCTCAACACGTTGGGGCAAAAAGGACACCCCAATAACTATAGTTTATTCCTGCGTCCATTTTGTCCCGCGCGTAGCCCCGTGTATAATGCCACCTATGCCCAAAATGGTGGCTCTTTTTAAAATACACAGGGGAAGAGACAAACTAATCAAGTGCACGCATGAAGCGATCTGTGCCTCTTCACGGATCCTTCCGAGCTGCCAGCTGGCAAAGTGGCTTCGGCGTGAATGCGCCGTTGGACACCAAACCAACCAGAACTGTGTGTCTTGATTGCTGATGGTGACTGGAACTTTACCTCTCACCGACCGCCAGGGCGATTTCGAGACGGGTGTGTGTATTAGGAGGTATCGTGAGGAATGCGGTGGTGGCATGACCGGGCCCAAACCCCGACCAACAGGTTCAGAGTTGAGCGCCCTGACCGTTTATCACCACCGCCCAGCTGTGTGTCAGGGGCTCGACTAATCACTCCTGAATCCTGCTCGTCATGCCATGCCAGCATGTGGGGTTCAACGGTCGCTGTGCGTGCACAAAGTACCTACACACACAGACGGAGAGCGCAGCAGGTGCGCACATCTCTTGTACGGTAGTCCCTGTCGGGAGCACAGACTATACTTACGAGTCCTTCACTTTCAGGTAGGTGTAAGTGGTGTCGATGGCGTCCTTCGGGTCCGGGTAGCGCGTGAACTTGCTCGTCAGGGACTTCTTGTTTCGTTGTTCGGTCGCCTGTGATAAGCCGTCACCGCGTCAAGGTGGCCATTGCGTCACAATGTCGTGACTTGTCACAGTGTAACAACAGCGCCTGTCCACGTGAGTCGTTGCGTTGCAGTCGCGCCGCGGTAAAATGTCATGATGCAGCGTGCTGTTGTGTCATAATGTGGCGTCGTGTCAGTGTGCCATGTCACGGTGTGTCGTCGTGTCACAGCGTGGCGTTGTGTCAGTGTGCCGATGTGTCAGTGTGCCGTCATGTCACAGTGCGCCATCATGTCACAGTGTGCCGTAATGTCACAGCAAGAGTTGCCGTGTTTGTGCGAAGCTGCGTCATGCCACGGCCAGGACACAGCTGGGGCGGACAAAGCGGGGGCGGATTCTCGTGCTAGTGTCCCAGCAGATGGCGTGACACTCGAAGACGGAAACTCTGCCTTTTCTCCAACCCGATCAGGCTGTATGCCCAACCTATTGTGGCAGCATCCACGCACGTCTGTGCGTGACATTCGCTCAACATAAGGTGACAGCAGCAAGAAATTACCGTCTCGCCGGCGAATAATGCGTTCGGGCATACAGCCATGCTACATGTGGCAGCGTAACACGCTATGGACGATAAGACTATCACAGGTGCATATGTGGCAGCACAAATGCGGTACTGATTTATGACGGGCGTGTTTCTCGCCCGAGGAAAACACGTGGTACTTGCTTCAAGCAACAAAGGTCAGCCAACTGTCGAACACTCAGACTTCGATCCCAGCACCGTAGGTGAGTTCGAATAATCAAAGCATTTAGTTCATGGTGTTCGGTGCCATGACCGCGGCGCGCGACGCGGGAGTCTTTCGGTTCGTACCTGGGGGGTATCTGTCGCCGTGGGCTCGGTTTGTGCCGCCGGGGCCACGGTGACGTCCTTCGCCACCTCGTCCACACGCTGCGACTCGCTGTCCACACTGTCCACGGAGAAGTCCTCTGTGGACGACGGCACACGCTACACTCGGCGCCGTGGGTGATACGGCCTGCGCGCGAGCGCGCAGACGCGTCTGAGACTACAACGGAATGAAGACGCGGCAGTTCTGATCCTACAACGGAATGAAGACGCGGCAGTTCCGATCCTACAACGGAATGAAGACGCGGCAGTTCTGATCTCCGACACGCCAACAAAAGCTTGACGGTAGCCCGTGCCGATAAAGCCTGTGAACCAGCGGCCGACAAACATCGTATGAACGGCAACTGAAGGGACTATATGTGGTCAAAAGGGCAAGGCGTCGTCCAACGGGAAGTAAGACAATAGCGAATCGCAATGCTGTTTACTCTTGTGTCATCTGTAATCAAGCGGAGCAGCGGTGTCGACTGTAACGCTACACAAACTCGAATTCTCCTTCGACCTATTCTTTCTGCCGTTGCTACGTTCGGAGACCTTGTATCACGAATAGATGGGGCTACTTTTTATGGTTACAGTTTTGGAACGTGGACAGCAAACAAATAAACCAATGTCTTTTTAGTAGCCAATACCGATACAAACGTTTACGCTGCTTACTAAACAGGTGTCTCAGGCTGAACATCACCACATAACCAGAGCTCAACTGCCTAGCACATTTGCACATTCCCCAGACAGTAGAGGACACCCCTGAACTGCATGCGTGTTACCTGACCACCCCCGAAACGGGCGGCACCTCCAGAGCGAGCGAGACCGGACACACCCGCCTCAGCTGCCCTAGGTCCACGTCAGTTGAGCAGTGTTTGGTGGGTACACGAAAGAAGCCTCGCAGGCCTGAGCGGTGGCCTATCATGCCACGTTTCACACCGTATAGTGCCTAGAGCTTCGGGTGCTGAGCTCATGTGAACGGCACGTAGCACGGTGTTAATCGATGACGCGGCGCTGGCTACGCACGTTTTTTGTTGTTCCGGGTTAGGTGATGCTGTTTTACCGCAAACGCCAAAAGTTGGTTAATTCTTTCAACAGCACGTGGAAAACGGCGGCTACTATTTTCTACAAGAGCAATACTTGCTTTGCTTTCGTAAATGCTTCATTTGCATTTCACGCAGCGCGTCGCTTGTTGTGTTTCTAAACATTTTGTAGGTGAATCGGTGTTTTGTGTGTGTAGGTGCGTGTTTAGGCGTGATGGTACCGGTATGGTCGGAAACGGGAGATTTAAACGACTGTTACCCCAAACGTGTGGGGTCCAAGCTGAAAAAATCTCTGAACCCAAATTGTTTCACGGCAGATGCAAGCAACACAAGGAAGATTTACTACGATGATTATTATGATGATGATATGATGATGATTATGATGATGATATAACAATGATTAGGATTATGAAGATTTACAATGATGATATGATTAGCGTTTGCCTTATACCTGGATGGCCGTACCAACGAAAGAAGATGTTTCGCCAGCAGGGTGTGCCAACAAAACATTCAGGCCGATTTGAGGTTTCAAGCCGACACTTGCATGTATTTACCACCCTCCATCTATTGAGAGCGACTTTGGATAACCCGCGTCTATGCCTTTACTATGTGCATTCAGCCGACTTCACCTAAACTGGCCTATATCCGAATGGAGCCATCACCAATTTGATACAGGTGGTGTGACTCAAGCCGTGGTCTCGAATGATACTGCTCGAGCATACAACGCTTTCAGCTTTTTACTGTGTGACGTCATTTTGACATGACTGCATGACCTTGGGCTTAAGCTGACCTAGTGTGGCCAATGACACCAGCTGTTGACCGGCACTATCATAAAGCAATGCCACACTCCAAATATAATGGAAGTTTAGCGGCCACTGTTTATACAAAAGAGTAATTTTCGCCACCATTGTAACGTGACCTAATATGGTCTGAGCTTTTAAAGAAGCCGTATAAAGGCATTCCACATATCTGAACCTTTTTTGACATCGAACAGACTTAAACGCCGAAACGGCTATATACTGTGGTCCGTGTTATCACGCTATTTTGACCTGGCGTAGACTGCCCTAACTACATCTGCTTTTTTAAAATAAGGCGTCTTGAACATGTTTCGACAGCTGCTGAGCAGTTTAGATTGATGATCTCAATCGTTCCAAAGCTATGTTAGAAATGAACCGAGGGCGTTTAACGCCTCCTCCCCCTCCCCCCCCTCCCCCAACAGAGGTGGATTAAAAACCGCCGGCTGCTTTATGCGCGCACGATCCAGTAAAAAACCACGATTTGCGAGACCTTTTACTAAGTCCTCATTAGAGTATGCGGATCTCCGCGCCAAGTATTTTGAGTGAGCAGAGCATCTATAAAAGTAGCAGATAGCCACCGAACGGCGAAGCAGTAGCCCGGCGCATCACGTCGGCGAAAGGCTCCCCTCGGACCATCGCCGGCTCGAAAGAACTACTGCTGTCCGCTACAAATCGCACACGTCAGCACCAGCAGAGCACGTCACGGAGCATGTCACGCAGCACGTCACGCGTCACACGACGGCCCACGTCAGCACTCGCCGCGTGGCGGATGGCGCCGTCCGCCGGCTGGCGCCCAGCCTCCGTCCGTACCTGCGGGCCGGCCCACCGGCGCCGGGCCGATGTCATGCCCGAGCAGCAGCAGCAGCAGCAGCAGCAGCGGGGCATGCAGCCAGACCGGCAGCATGCTCGCACGGTCGGGACGCAGCGGCGCGG